TTACGAAACCCTGGCTCTTTATTGGGGTTCTGAATATGAACCCCCAATATATCGGGGATCTAGGGCCAGGGTTTTCTCAATCAGGTTCCTACATTAGGGCTTTGGGTTCAGGGCTCAGGCGGTTTGGGCTCTTTTCCCGCAGCTTCGGGGCTGTTTCCATGCGTTTGTTCTAGACTCTATGCTTAAAGTATGGCCTACCGAGAAAAGCTCTTGAAAATTGTTTGATCCCTCTCTCGCCCTCTCCCTTTCTAGGAGGCCTTACTGTTGGAGGTTGTAGCTTCTTCACAGGCCTTGTGCGGCTTCGTGCGTTGCTTCCTCGGAGGTGGAGCCGGAGTTTGTGTCCACCAGACTCCTTCTGCAGCAAATGATCCAAAGGCGCTCCAGGGTGAGGTTTAGGGGATTCAGTCGGGGCTGTGTGGGCTTCTTTCCAAGCACGGGCTTTTCGCGTTTCGCTTACCTTGCTCTGGGGCGGGCACTTTGGGGAAAAGGGGCCTTGGGGTTCTGTAGAACTCCAAACCAGTCAACAGCCCAACCGACACGAATCCCTAAACCGTTAAAGTCTTACACCCCTAAAAAACCCTAACCGTCCTAACCGCTAAACTGGTGAGCCCCCAAGCTCTAAACTTTCAAACCCCTTAAGCTCTAAACACTAAATTATGGCTGTGTTCGAAGGCATTTGCAGATTGCGGTCTTCAGCGTTCAGTGCCCAGCAGATATCCCGGCTGCGCACAAGGCAGCCTCCGTGGTGGTGTTGCTGAGGCTTATCTGATCTTTGAAACCTGCCCTAAACCCTAAACCCTTGTATCCTAAACCCTAAACCCTTGTACCTTGTACCCTAAGCCCTAAACCCGAAACCGTAAACCCAAAAGCCAGGCAAACGGCGGAACCTACATCTCCAGACCCTTCCACCCCAAGCCGAATCTCCCCTAATATAGAAGCCTTAATGATTGCCTATACTATTTTGGGGGTTCCATATGTTAATTCTAGTATAGTCTGCCCCAAAACATTATTCTAATTTTTCAGACTTATTTTAATTCTAGTATAATCTACCCCCAAAATCCTATTCATAATGTTTTCAGGCCTATTTTATTTCTAATAGAATACACCCCCAAAGCCCTATTCTAATTTTTTCAGGCTTATTCTATTCTAACTTTTTCAGGCGTATTATAATTTAGTAGAATATATCCCAAAACTTTCAAAGCCCTATTCAAATTTGTTCAGGCGTATTATGATTACAAAATCATAGACCCCAAAACCTTATTCCAAGGACTAAACCCTAAACCCTAAACCCTAAACCCTAAACCCTAAACCCTAAACCCTAAATCTCAGGAGTCGGGGAGCCCTGCAAGATGCCACCTTTGCGCAGCTGGCGCTCACCATCCGCCACTTGGATTTGGGGGCTCCGGAAGATGCGGGACTTCCCTAAAGCCTTAAACCCCTAAACGGTCTAGGGTTTAGGGTTTAGGGTTTAGGGTTTAGGGCCTAAACCCCTAAACCCCTAAACCCTAAACCCCTAAACCCTAAACCCCTAACCCCCTAAGCCCTAAACCCCTGATCTAATAGGTCCTTTGACTAGGATACGTTTTTCAGGGCAGGGGTTCAGGGTTCCCATTTTCATCCTCCCTGCCTTCCGACACTCTGTTGGCTCCTTGGGGTTGGGAGTGCCTTGGCGTTGAGGGTTTCAGGGATTTGGGTTCATGAGTTTAGAGAAGCGCCTCTCCGGCTGCAAGGTTCTGGGTTTAAGGTCTTGGGTGTGGGGTTTAGGGTTTGGGGGGCCCAGCGAGAGGCTTTGCTTTACTACCGCGCAGTCGCTGATCATATTCTAGCCTTCGCGTTTAACTGTTTAGGCTTGGGTCTTCACAGCTTTAGGGTCTAGGCCTTGCGGTAATTGTATTGAGGACGTGGGGAAGGATCGCAGGTTTCTAAGCTCAGGCCATCTGGCCTCCAACCCGAAACCTTCAAGCATAAACCCTAAACCCACAACTCTGTTCCAGAAATGCCTCATGGCATTTCTTGCAGCTCTGATTTCCTTCTGCCTGTGCTCCAGTCTAGCAGAATCCGGATCCAGCAATCCCCCGAAAGCCCCTAGCCTAAATCCTGAACCGTAGAGTGCGGGAGGAAAAGAAGGGATCGAGTTCGTGCCCGTGAACGATGGCTCCTTCCAGTTCCCTTCGCCAGAGTTCTACCGAAAGGTGCTGGGAATTCATGGGTTGGGAGATTCTTTGAGTGCGTTTAGGGCCTTGGGTTTTGGGGGTTGTTACCGGAACAGTGTGGTACACATAAAGAGGATTGGTAGTGTCGGAAACGAGTTCCCGCTAGCACGGCTCCAGCTGTGGGGTGGTGCATGTTTTGTGCTCACGTCCCATTATTTACAGAGGATCCGTGTGGCAGTGTTCTTCCGGATAGCCGGATTTTCGAAAACAAATTGGGGGAAAGGATTTTTGGCGTCCGCCTGCATCGCGGCAGTATACCGGGAAAAGCATAAGCGCCGTGCTCCTGAAACTCGGGAAGATCATTGTGTCTGCCCTCCAGCAGTACTTGAGGGAAGCCACTCTGGCCGCGCCCTGAATCCCCCCCGTGCGTGCGCATGAAGGCATTTCGGCAGTGGTCCGGAACCCGCAGTACCTGGGGCTCATGGTCTCCTCGTTTTGTGTGGGTCTCCTGGTAATCTGCTGATGGTCTCGTGGTGGTCTCCTGGATTCTCCTGGTGGCCTCCTCTGCCTGGTGGTCTCCTCGTCTCCTCACGGTGTCCTATTTGTCGTCGTCGTCGCCGGGGTTTAGGATTCATGGCATGCTTGATCTGACGTAGCAACATCCGAAGGCAAAAAAAAACCTGCTTGGGCTCGAGTCCCCAAACTCTGATGTCCACCCTCCCTTTTGATCCTCAAGGGTCTGCCTGGTATCTGTACCTTTTGTGTGCGGCCAGGATGGTAACCCCAGATCCGACACATCGAAATCCTAGATCTCCGAAATCCCCTAAAGCCCAAATCCCAAATAATTCCCGCATTCAGGTGGAAGGAGGGGACATCGCGATCGCCGGATTGGCGATCGAAGTGGGTCCCAGTTTAGCCAAAGCTTATCAGGCCTGTTCACCGGGCTCTTTGTTTAGAGTGAGGCTTGAGGGTTCGGGGTTGCCATTAGTGACAAGTATCCACTGCTAGAGTACTATCAGAGGGACGCCAGAGTCCTTTGCCACCTGGAACCGTAATGAACCTGGTACGATGGCTAGGAGGATCACGGCGTCTGCTGCCAGTATTACTACGGCTGTAGCCAGAACTTGGCTGCTGTCTTTGAGATTGTGATGACGATGATGATGCTGATCCTCCTCCTCCTCCTCCTCCTCCTTTCCCGCCTCCTCCTCCTCTCCCGCCTCCTCCTCCTCCTCCTCATCGTCATCCTCCTCCTCCTTCTCCTCCTCCTCTTCCTCCTCATCACCACCATCATCATCATCAGTTTCTTTGATGTATCCTTGTCTAGAGTCTAGCGCAAGCTTCGTGAATGGTTGTGATCGCGGCGACTGCTTGCAAGGCCATACTTTCAATCCTCGCCTTGCCCTTCGCTCCACATGGATCGAGTGGTATCCTGGACAGGCTCGAAACAGACTCTGTTCAGCGTTGAAAACTTTGGGGTTGAAGGGCTTTTGCGTATGTTGGAAGTCTGTACTCCATGCAATAAAAAAGCCGAGCCGCCCGAAACTTTAAGCAGTCGGTCCAACCATTTGCAAAACCAACGCCCCAATCCTCGAAGCCCACCTTTCCAATGCCCGAAGTTGTCTACGGTGCTCAGCGGCGTCGACAGTGCTTTGCGCCGAAACCATGCAGAAACACCAAACCGAAATGCCGTGAGCCCCAAAGCCTTAAATCCGAAATGCTGACAAGTCGAGCTGCTGCACCAGTGATGTGATGATCTCTCTCTCTCTGGGAACATGGCCTTCCAAAGCCAGAATCCTCTCTAACTTCACATCCCCTGGTCCCTCTCCACACCCAAATACCCTAAAGCCCTGAATCTCAAGAGACGAGGCAAGTCGCGCAGATCTGCCAGAGGTTTCGCAGCATGGAGGATTCGCCACAGAAAAGGCCGGATGCTGTCACTGGCAGTAAACATACTTATGAGAACAAGAATAACTAAAGTCATAAAGGTTCAAGCGAGAATGACAACATTTTTAACCTGGTAACCTGGACTTGGGTAGCTTGCTTTCTCGAATATTCGACAGGCAGAGAAGTAATTGGCTACTCGACAAGGGATTCTGTGTCAGCTTGCCTGGCATATCTGTGTCTCGTACATTTGTCCTGTGCTGAGACACCCATTGAGCATGCCGAGCATGCATTCGCTTCATATGATATAGGGGCCTTAATAATCGGAATAGGGTTTGGGGTATATTATAATTACCTATAATCATAGTAAGGAACCCCCAGAACCCTATTCTATTTATTAAGGCGCCTACATTACGTGCCTTCTGCCATCCCTCACGTATCTTGTGTTGCAGGGCCGAGTCGGGTAGACGGTGACCTGCACCAAGTGCCAGCACATAATGACAACACCAATCTCCTCCTGATTGTCGCATCACCATGATATCCGTTCTTTTCCTCCCACCGTCTGTGTCTCTCTTTCTCTCTCTTTCTTGTTCTTTTTCTCTCTGTATCTCTCTCTCTCTCTCTCGGATATATATACACACACACAGACGCGTGTGTTGCTTGGGTTTTGACTTGTATGCTTGGCCCAATGTTCATCATCGCAGCCAACAGTGTCATCATCACGTCATCATCAACATTGTCACCGTTCAGAGTTCAGAGTCGCTTTAGGTTGTGCCTTGGTATATTCAGTGGTGTTGGAGGTCATCGTCCATCGTTGTCGTCGCGGTCGTGGTGATCGTCGCCGTGCTGTCGTCGTGTCGTGGTGGTGGTGGTGCTGGTGGTTGTCGTCCGTTGTCGATTGTCGTCGTCTGCGGCTCTGTTTATTCCAGATGATCTTGCTATGATTTCTGTTCATTGACAGGATGCCAGGGGTCGTGCTGTAGCATGATGGTGGTGAGGGCGACGATGTTGGCCCTGCCGATTATAATGCCCATGCTGATGGTCCAGTAGCATGCGACTGTCACTCTTTCTTTGCTGCTGGCGACCGCTGCTGCCGCTGCTGCTGCTGCTGCTGCTGCTGCCGCTGCTGCTGCTGCTGCCGCCGCTGCTGCTGCTAATACCCATTCTTGCCATGGGCTCTGTCGACTTTGAGCCAGCTTTGTTATTGCTCGCATGTGTTTTGACAGGTATAGCCCGCAGCTCGCGGAGGGCGTGTCGCAGGGTGAACCTTCGGAGGCTTTGCAGAGTTCGCCATAGTCATGTCACGAGCGCGTAGGCATCCGAGCTTCAACTGTGCGATGACTGCTGGTGTCAATAGGTACTATTATACTATTATCGTGATCATTGCTGTTAGCATTGTTATGATTTTGTGCGTCCTTCGTTATTTTGAGTTTATGATTAGTCTTGATGCATCTTCGCACCAGTTATCTGACACCCCCGGTCCTTTCAATGTCCTGTCCACCGGGTCTAATGGCAGGTCTTTACTCCATCTCCCGCATCCGCAGACACCGATGACATGAGCTCCAGTGATGATGATGCTCTGTGCGTGTGATCGTGGATGGTTTAGGGTTTAGGGTTTAGGGTCGATTATCGAGGGTTTTGGGAGTAGTCCGTGGAACGCAGAAGACCTCTCGATGCAGATTGAGGTTAGCTTGTTGGAGACCGTTTCTTCATAGCATTGCTTCCATGGGCAGAAGCACACGCACCTTCAAGAAGAGGTCCGATTCGTCTTTGCTATGGCCAGTGGGGTCGAAGACCCCGTTTTCCGGTGGCCGCATTAGGGGACCCATTTAATGGGAGTTTCCAAAAATAGGGGACCTTAATATAGTACCCTAAATAGTAGGACCCTTATTATAAGGACCCCCAAAATAAGGCACCCCTATTTTCGGAAACCTCCATTTCAAGAGCGACGGGCTCCTGCCCGGCTCTGTTCTGCACATCGAGAAAACCGAAGGTTTCGACGTTTGATGTGGGGTTGCTCTAAAGTAGCAGTGGTACTTAACACAGGTATGTGTGAAAAAATTGATTTAAGTAGCTGCGCAACCGGGAAGGCATAGTCGTAGCCGGTGTAGAAGGATTGTCATTTGGAACAACCCCGATGTCCATACTAGCTGCTACCATGCGGAGCAAGCTTGTTGCGATGGTCTGTGATGGCTACTACTATTGCGATGGATGCCTCATCCGTCTAGTCTGAACCTAAACTCTACAATCGCAGTTAACCCTAAACCCTAAACCCCTAAACCCCTAAACCCTAAAACCCTAAACCCTAAACCCCTAAACCCCTAAACCCTAAAGCCTTAAACCCCTAAACCCCTAAACCCTACAATCGCAATTGCAGCCCCAAGATCCTGAAGCCTAGAGCGACCGAATCCCCGGGGTAAGCCTTCATAGCTTTAGGGAGTGGTGATTTGGGATTTAGGGTTTAGGGTTTTGGGTTTAGGCTTCTACGTAGACTTCTGAAGCCTGCATTTTACAAGCTAGACCTTACGAAGCACTCGGTGTACCGACGCCGAAAGCCTGACCCACAAATGTGGGCCTCTTTTTTGGCAACATGTGGACTGACGTGGAGACTTTGCAGCTCATGGAAATTTGGCGGTGAAGATTTTGGGGTTTAGGGGGAGAGCGTTATTCCTTCCACTGGTAGCAGCGACGTTCATCCTAAAACGGGGCTCTACGTTCTGGTAATGGGCTTGGGCGTGGGTTTCAGCGAGAACCCGAAGCCCAAGACCCTCAATCACCAGACACCGGGTTGAGGAGTTTAGGGTTTAGGGCTTGTGTTAGGGCTTTAGGGTTCGCACGGCCATATGGTTTGTCATGAACTTGGGTATTGCTTTTAGCATGCATACTGTTACTGTCGGTATTCTGTGTACACTTGTTATCAGAATGCATCTCCTTACGACGAATCTTTGACACCTGCCTTGGTGATGTCTTTGTTGTTTTCACTGTTCTTGGAGTCGTGCTTGTTGCCGCTGCCGTTGCTCTTGCTGTCGGCGCAAAGTGCTTCGTTCTGGCACTGCATGTGCCGATATGCCGCAGCCATGTTTCCCAGCTCGAGTGTCCGTTCAGAAGGACATGCTGGGATATGTCCTGATTTTATGCGTGCTTACGGCAGCTTGGTGCAACTTCAACGGCTTCAGATTTAGCTTAAGACTTGTAACAGTATTAAGGGGAAAAGAGTCAGCAACAGCAGAAATTTGAGTTGGTTGGGTTAGCGCCTTTTGTTTTGATTCACAATCGCGAAATGCCTGAATATCGCCAGAAAGCCAATGCCAACAGCAAACGCGCGGCATTGTGACATTTACACGAAATCAGGCCATATATCTCGGCTACCCTAAACCCTAAACCCTAAACACTTACATAAAGGTTTGCATGATTCAGCCTGAAGTTCAAGAGACGAACCTAAAGTGAAAAAGGCACCACACTCCAAAGCAGAAGCCCCAAAGCCCCCAAAAAGGCTTCAACCCCCAAGGCGATCGTCGTTTTGAGGAGGGCGGAGGTTTGGTATCACGCAGTAGCTAGGACCGCCCATGTAAGGCAAGCGTTCATGCAGTTATCATCCTCTAAATCATCACCGCCGTGCATAGAATGCTACTCCTTTGGTCAACGTTTGCTGATTAAGTGCAGTGGTTTTCTTCCACATTGCCGGCTCTGCTGTGTTGACTGTGCCCTTTGCTTCGGCAATACCTCACATTTGGAACTCGGGTCGCGTTGCACGGAAATCGCTTCCCAAATCGATTCCATGTGGCCTGAAGCCCCTCGAGGTGCATGCCAATCAAACATGTCTTCCTAGAGCAGTCCCTCGCCACGAGCGGAAAAATTTGACGTCCCACGGCACCAGCTACCCCTTGGGTATCTGGAACGGACAAGCAAAGTGGCAGACGGCCACGCCGACGGCTGTTTTCCAGATTTTGGTAGAAGAGTTGCTTGGCTATAACGTCCACGTAGAGGTGTCCAATTCGGGCGTGGCCCAGCACGTTCTCTATGCGCTGGCCGGCTGTGCAGAACCCACGGCAGATAACGACGATGAGAGAGGCTGCAATGGGCAGAGGACTGCATTTCATGCAGCTGCTGGGGTGTACCTTACCAATGAGGTTGAGCAGCATTGGCAGCAGGCACGGCATGTGAATACTGTCACCTTGAACCCCTAAGTCCCCAAATCCTGCGCAGTGTCCTTGAAATCGGCAGTCTGCGAGGTGCAGCGGATGAGGATGGGAGGTATGCTGGAAGACTTATCTAGCCTGGGATTTCCATCCTACTCTGGGATATATGTGGATGGGCGCACGCAGGACTTAGCCGAGGATCACGAGCGTTTGTTCTTGGACGACTACAGGAGCTACGACTCAAAGTATCAGAATCCGAAGCACTGGTTCGCGAGTATTCACGACATCAACACCTCGTCTCTCATACCGTGCAAGCGCTGGAAAGGTACATTACCCCTTGGGCTTGAAACTTTCCTACGGAACTTCGATACTCTGGAAGTCGATCTGGCTCTGGATTTCACAGGGCAAGAGATCGTGCCATATTGCCCCGATGGTTACTGGTGGCTGTCGAACGCGTGCAGAAACAATCCGACGGACTGTATTCCTTGCGTCACCGGCAGCTCCCTGAACTACGTGTACGATGCTGACGAGGTTCAAAAAAGGGTTCTGAGACCCAACCTGGAGCCCTCAAGCCTTCGAACAGCGCAGCACACTCTCCTTATCCAAGCCTGAAGCTGGGTAGTTCTAAATTAGGGTGTCTCTTTTTAGGGGTCCTCAGTATAAGGGGGCCCTACTGTATTGGGGACCTAAAAAGGGACCCTAGTTTAGAGAATTACCCAAGTGGAAGGTCATGATCAAGGCGACTACGTGGAACATGTCTCTGGCACTGGCCACAGTCGACGGGCACTCTGCAGGGACCGACTTCGAGAAGCTGGTTACAGAACACAGGAGCCAACGCAGGGTTTAGGGTTTGGGGTTTAGGGTTTAGGGTTTAGGGTTTGGGGTTTGGGGTTTAGGGTTTAGGGTTTGGGGTTTAGGGTTTAGTGTACAGAACAAAGGAGTTATCGCAGGGATCGTTGCCGGTTTACGGTCCCGTGTTCAGCTTTTGAAGTTTCGCGTTTCGGCAGGCCAGAATCCTTTTCTGCCTCTGGGAGCCTGACTTGAAACCCCCAATTTTCGAAATCCTAGACCCAAACGCTTAAACCCTAAACCCTAAACCCCTAACCCCTAAACCCCTAAACCCTAAACCCTAAACCCCCTGAGCCCTAAACCCCAACCCTAAACCC